CGGGCCCGTGCGGGGGCGCAGACAACACTGCAGCAGCGCCAGCGTGAGGCGGCCGAGCGAGCGGCTGCTCTCTTGTCCCAGCGCGAAGAAGCCACACGAGCGGCAGAGGCGGCGGCACAGCAGCGTACGGCCAAGATGATGGCGCTAGAGCAACGCATCGCCTCGCAGCCAGACGGCAACGAGTTGTGTATGCGGGAGCAGGAGGCGCGCCGCGCCGCCGCGCTGCGAAAGAAGGGAGAGGCTGAATTTGAGGCGCGGTTCCTCCGAGGCCCGATATCTCCTACCGACAACTCAGTAGTAACAACGCCAGCTGCAGCGGATGACGACGACGGATGTTTCTTTCCACTGGCAGACGTCGCATGCCTTCTGCCAAGCGAAGCAGAGGTCACAGTGCAGCTGCCATCGCGCCCTTTCAGCCTGCGCCCCATTGCTGACGTGAATGCTTCTTGTACTGATATGGATGATGGTTGCGATGGTAATGATGACGATGACGGCGCTGATGGTGGCACCAGTATTAGTGGTTGTAATGTTGATGATGGGCATGACGATGCAGCGTCGAGGGCGGAGAGCGAGCCTCCCACCGCCGCATCTCTCGTGCCGCAGCCGACACCGCTGCCGCCACGCAGACTGCAGGCGGTGGAAATATTCTTGCCAGTCGAGGAAGCGCTGACGACGACAACAACAGTCGCGGCAGCAGTATCAACAACACCAACTGCTACCACCACTGCCACAAACACCACAAGCGCAACTTCTTGCGGCAGTGTTGATGCACCAGGGCTTGAGCGGCACCACGAGCAGTTTCTCCGCAATCTTAAGGCGCTGCAGGAAAAGTTGGCGAGAGCCGCCGGCAACGCGGATGTCAACAACACCATAGAGAGCTCCGCGTGCCACGCCAACGTGAGCGTCAGCTCGATGAGTTCCGGCTTCACGCCATCGCGCCGCCCAACGGATGAGGGGGCGCAGGAGGAGGAGGAGGAGGAGGAAGAGACAGGCACTTCGGAGGTCGACACGAGCGGCAGCAGCGGGACGACGTCACTCTCATCGGTGTATTCTCGCCCGTACCCCACCATGACGGCGGAACAGCTGCGGGCTGCTCTGCTCCGGATGAAGATGCGCATGCGATCAGCCTAGTTGGAGAATAGAAAATAACATATTTCCTGTTGCTGGTTTCTCTTCCCACCCCAATCTTTTTTTTTTTTTTCTGTTTGGCGGGGGGCAATGTCTTCCCCGACACAACGACATAGATGCACTTGTGGGGCCTAGAGCCTTTTTATGCTTAAGGGTGGTGAGGAACGGAAGAAGAAAAAAATATATTTCTTGGTTGGTGTTTGTGGGTGCACCCGAGCTGCTACTGCTTTTGTTGTTGTTGTTGTTGTTTCATGTCCATGCACACGCACAACGTGGCTTCTGTTTATCTGTCATGTCTAGGCACCCAGGAAGCATAGCTTGGGCACACGTCGTATGCGGCGCGTTGCGCCCTGGTCGCGCCACCTCCGTGCGTGCCGATTCATCCGCCCCAGCCGGCCCTTCTGGGGGACTGTCGTCCCGTACAAGCTGACGGACGTCGGGGAGGGCATCCGTCGCGTGGAGGTGTTAGCTGTGTGCGTCAGGCCAGGCGACAAGGTCGAGGAGTTCGACAAGATATGCGAGATCCAAAGCGACAAGGCGACGGTCGACATCACCTCCAGGTACGCGGGCGTCGTAGCGGCCGTACACGTAACAGTTGGTGGGACGGCGGAGGTCGGTCGGCCTATTGTCGACATCGAGCTCAGCGATGGCGCCGGCGGCGATACCCACAACAACAAAAGACCAAACAGTACGAATAAAAACACCAGGGAAAATATCAATGCGAACGAGAATAAACCATCACAAAAGGATGCCATGCATGGTCCTGCTGCTGCTGCTGCCGCCGCCGCCAGTACCCCCGCGAAGGTGTTGGCCACACCCGCGACTAGGGGATTCGCCCGAGAACGGTGTGTCAACCTTGCGCAGGTGCATGGCACCGGTGAAAACGGGCGCATTCTGAAGGAAGATGTGGAGGCGCACGCGAGTGGGTACACCAGCAATGTGGGCGATGTGGTTGTGCCACTGAACACAGGCATCCGTCGCGTCATGGTGGCTTCCATGAAAGAGGCTGGGGCCATCCCGAGCTTTACTGCGTGTGACGAGATGGAAGTGACGGCCCTGTTAAAGTTGCGTGAGCTATTAAAGGACGCCATACCTGCACACAGCAGCAGCAGTAACAACGGTGGAAATGGGAAGCTTTCGCTCACGCCCTTGTTTCTGAAGGTGGCGTCCTTGGCGCTGCGGCAACACGCGGAGGTCAACGCGCACGTCACCTCTGGCTGCGAGAGTCTTATCGTGAAGAAGGCGCACAACATCGGTGTTGCGATGGACACGCCAAAGGGGCTGATTGTCCCTGTCATACGAAACGTCGAGCGTAAGAGCATCGTCGACATCGCTCTGGAGCTGAACGATTTGGTCGCACTTGGGCGCAGAAACCAGATTCAGCCTGATTGCCTGCGCGACGGCACCTTCACGCTCAGCAACATTGGCTCAGTTGGGGCGACGTACGCCATGCCTATGATTTTACCACCCCAGGTGGCGATTGGTGCCATTGGGCGAGTGCAAGTGTTGCCGCGCTTTGACACCAATGGAAATGTTGTCAGGGCGAATATAGTCCAGGTGTCGTGGACGGCGGATCACCGGGTCATCAACGGCGCAGCTCTGGTACGGTTTAGCAACACGTTCAAGCACTATCTCGAGAACCCGGGGCTGGTGCTTGGTGATATGATGCAGAAGCTGCCATAAATTTGCCTGCGTTATTTCTTTGCTTTATGGTCTGTGTGGCGCCTGTTGTGTTCTTGTGTGCGATCGGCTATGCTTCTTTTCCGGTTTCCGTTCTTCTTTTTGCTTTTTTTTTCGCGTGTGTGTCTGTCTGTACTGGTTTTATTGGGAGGTGCAAACATTTTCCCCCACTGCGGTGGGGATCGCTTGGTAGGTGTGCACAGCGTCGATTGACCACCAACACTGTTTCGCTTGTCGCTCTGCCTGTTACGAGCTGTTTTTTTTTTTTTTTTGCCTGTGGCTGCTCTTTATTTGAAATGCTGGGCTGCTCGTTTGCTTCTCTGTGAGCTGCTAGCGGAATAACAAAAGAGATAGAGCACGTGGGCAGGCATGGCGGACACTGGGGAGAATCCTTTCGTCATTGGTCACAGGGAGGAGATGGCTGCGCCGCCTGATGCGGCAGCAGAACAACAACAACAACAACAACAACAAATCCAGCAGCAGCATCAGCAGGATGGTGACGACGCGGCAGAGGCCCAGGAGGATGTTGCGGGTCTCATTCCGTTGTGCGTGCGCCACGCGGAGGGGCCGCAGATCAACAGCGCCGTCTTTGGGTACGACATTGCGCAGATGCAAAAGCGTCCATGGGACGACCCCGCGGCCAACCTCAAGGATTACTTCAACTACGGCTTCAACGAGACCAGCTGGCGGCTCTACTGTTCGATGCAGGCGGAGGGTGAGGCCTCGCTGCTGGCGCGGGCCAACACATTCCTCGCGCAACTGAAGGGTGGCAGCACAGAGGAGCCCATTGGGAATGACAATGCTCCTTACTGCATGCAGACGCAAGGCTCTTCGCAAGCGTATTATGGGAGGCCGCAGGACAGTTTCCGCAAAACAAGGCTCTGTCAGCGTTTCCTTGATGGGCGCTGTGTGAAGGGTGAACACTGCAGCTACGCCCACGGGCAGGAGGAATTACGAGGCGGCGCTCACCAGCATCAGCGACCGCAGCAGCAACAGCACCACCTTCAGCACCAGCAGCACCTTCAGCATCATCACCACCACCACCACCACCACCAGCAGCATCAGCACCCGCAGTCTACTTCGTACATACTTCCGCCATTTAGTGTCGACCAGGGTGTGTTGCCACCGATGAGTCCGCCACCAACGGGTGTTCTTGACCCTAACGGCGCCGGCGGCTACCGCATGATGCCGAAGCGGCAGCGGTCCCCCGACAAGAGGGAGGATCAGGCGTACTAAAAAAAGTTGGAGGTTTACCGCCGCTGGGTGTGGTGCACCGTTAAGCAGAAGCCGAACTATATTTGTGTTTCTGTGTTTCTGACCTGCGGCCTGTAGCCGGTGGGTTTTTAATTACCTTCTTGGGCTCCCATCGCCCGTCTGTCCAATCCGCCTTTGCGAGTGTCTGCCACCGCGCCGCCATTTCTGCTCATGTCTTTTTTTTTCCCTGGTGTGAAAGTAACCTGTCGCTGCGCTGCTTGTGTCCCGGCATAGCGTAGCAGAGAAAGAGAGAAAGAGAGAGCGCGCGAGAGAGAGAGAGAGAGAGAGAAAGGGAGGTAAGAGAAGGAAGAAAGGAGGGCGAGAGACACGGAAGGCAGTTGAGNGAGAGAGAGAGAGAGAGAGAAAGGGAGGTAAGAGAAGGAAGAAAGGAGGGCGAGAGACACGGAAGGCAGTTGAGATGCACTCCCTCGGAAAGAGCTTTCAGCGGTCAAAGCAGGCGGCGCAGCGCAACAACCGCGCTAAATACCGCGGGCTGCTGGAGGCCGAGCGTGACGCATCGACGCTGCGGGAGGCGGAGCAGCAGCAGCAGCGCCGCAAGGGTGCACCGCTCAAGTCCATCTGGGAGACGAGCAACTTGGAGGAGTTCCTCCTCATCGCGGACGCGCGCGAGAAGGGCTACGAGGCGGCGCGCGATCTCCGCGTCGTGGTCGACGGCACGCCGCACGTCGTGACAAACAACAAGGTGGTGCCGCTCAGCGACGACCGTGTCGACTGGCTGAAGCTCAGCGAGCTGTTGACGATCCCGCGGCGACCCGCGTGGCGCTACGACATGTCGGCAGAGGAGGTGCAGGCACTCGAGACGTCCGCCTTCTTCGAGTGGCGCCGCCGCCTCGCGGTACTGGAGGAGGAGCACAAGGTCGTCATGACGCCGTACGAGAAGAACCTTGAGGTGTGGCGCCAGCTCTGGCGCGTCGCGGAGCGTGCGGACGTCGTGCTGATGATCCTCGACGCCCGCAACCCGCTCGTGTTCCGCTGCGCCGACTTCGAGGCGTACGTGCGCGGCACGCTCAACAAGGCGGGGGGGCCGAAGGAGGTTATCCTGCTCCTAAATAAGTCGGACCTCCTCACCGAAAGCCAGCGGCGAGCGTGGGCGGCGTACTTCACGGGGCGCGGTGAGTCGTTCATCTTCTTCTCCGCCACCCCCGCGAAGAAGAAGGAGGCAGCTGCAGAGGAGGAGGACGACGACAACAACAACGACGACGACGACGACGACAACTGCAGCAGCAACAACAATGACGATAACGACCCTATGGATGAGAAGTGCATGTCCAAACTCATGCGGGACCGAAAGGAAAAACGGCGTCACCAGAAGAAGTCCCTCCGCGCCCCGGTGGAGGTGGCGAACCCTTACGAGCTCGTCGAGCAGAGGCGGGCCGAAAGGGCGCGGCAAAATCAGCAGAAGCAGCAGCCACAGCGCAAAGCGCCAAAACCCCTGACGGCCGACGAGAGGGCGCGTGACGAGCGTGTGTCGCAGCAGCAGCAGCAGCAGCGTCACCAGCGGCTGCAGCAGCAAAGCCAACAAGAGCCGTGGGCTGTGCTCGACCCGGAGCAGCTGCTCGATCGGCTGGCGGTGTGGCGCGTTGCCTGCGGCATCACCGACATGGAGACGCCGCTGATGGTCGGCCTCGTCGGATACCCGAACGTGGGGAAGTCGTCGACCATCAATGCCATCCTCGGCTGCAAGAAGGTTGTTGTGAGCGCGACGCCGGGTAAAACGAAGCACTTCCAAACACTCCCGATACCAAACGAACGTCGTGTCGCGCTGTGCGACTGCCCCGGACTAGTGTTCCCGTCCTTCTCCTCGACGCGGGAGGAGATGGTGTGCGAGGGCATTCTCCCTATTGACACCGCCACCGAGGCGTCATTGGCAGTCGATGTGCTCTGCCGCCGCATACCTCGCCAGGTACTGGAGCAGCACTTCAACGTGTCACTTCTGGTGGAGAACGACGCGGACGACAGCGCCTCGTTGGCGGAGCGCTTCCTCAACGCTGTCGCGCGCCGCCGCGGGTATTTGGGTGCGCATGACAGACCGAACAAGTCACGTGCTGCGCGGGATGTGCTGAAGCTTTACGTGGACGGCGCTCTCGTTTATGTGGAGCCGCCGCCGAATTACACCCCCGCGCCTGATGCTGCAATTGCTGCCGTCACCAACACCGCGAGTGTTAGCCATAACAAGGGTGCAAAGAATCAGTCATGCGAGATGGGTCGCTACGCCGCCTTTACTTCTACTTCTGCTGCCGCTGCTGCTACTGCGGGCGAAACGGGCAACGAGGAGTGGGAGGATGTGCTCAGTGATGAGGAAGAAGAAGGGGACGGCTTCTTCGATGACGAGGACGAGGACGCGTGGAATGATCTCGACAGCGCTGCAGAAGCCCGTGCTCTCAGCGAGGCGAGCGATGATGATGCTGACGACTTAAGTGTCATTGAGGCAGCGCCGCCGATGTTCTACGTGAGGCCGAAGGGGATGCGTGGCGTCCTCTCGCGTCGCGAGGCGTTCAACGCAGAGGGCAACGCGGTCCGCATCGCGGCGGCAGTTGCCGCTGCAGCGGCGAGTAACGCGGCTCGTCAAAAGCGGCGCACGAACCATCAGCTTGAGCCGGTCGTGGACACGTTCGTGAATGATGAGGGCGATGTGGAGCTCATCATTGACGACGATGACGGCATTCTTGAGCTTGTCGGTGGTGTGTCGCGTGCCAAAGTGGAAATGAAGCAGCAGAAGCAGAAGAGCAAGCGACAGACGCGCCGCGAGCTCAAGCGGTCGGGCGCGGGTCCTATTAACCCCACAGCACGCAAGATGGGCGTGCAAGGTTATTAGTATACGAATACGTGTAATAGTTAAAGTGATACTTTTCTTTAAAAACAACAACAACACACACAAACAAAGAGCGCACGTTTTGTGAGGGGCTGTTGTTATTCTTGTCTCTGTCTGTTTCACGCCCGCCACGCTCATTCCTTTTTCCCGCCCACAATTCTTCTGCGTAGGCTGCGGTGAAGGAAAGGGTGCATCATGCCTGAGGGCGACTATGAGAGGGGGAGGAAAGCAATAAGTATCCAATAGCACAAGTTTCATGTGCCCGACTTCTTCGTTTCCGTCTGAGTGCCCGCCACTGCACTCTGGGCGGCCTGGCGTTCTCGGTGCGGAGGGAGAACGTGTACGTGCAGCCATCGGATCAGAGCCGACTTCTGTGCGTCCTGTATCGGACCATGATGCCTGCGGATGCAAGCGGTATGTGGTGGCTCGCCACGTGGTGCTGGGGCCTTGCAGCCGACGGCCGGAGAGGCATACGGGGGCCGGCTCGCTCGGGGTCTTGTTTTCCATGAGCCCATGTGGCTCGGGCAAGACTAGTCTAATACCCTTTTTTCTCCTCGGCGGAATGGGCGCTGCTCCGTTCTTGGTTTCAGCGAATGCGTTGCTCGACGGTCTCCAGTTTCTTTATTGCTGTGCTTCTGTTCTGTTCTCTGCGCCCTCGCAGCCGCGCGGCAC